CAATCGATTATAGTCCCTTTAATCGATTTTATGCCATTAAAATTAAAAGAATCGATTATAATTGATGAAAAATTTTTGATTCCTAACCCGTACTGAAAAAAAATCGATTAAAATCATCAATTTAATCAAAATAAATCATAATTGCTAGATTTTCATCAATTATTTGAGGTTCGAATCGATTATAATCAGGAATATGTTGATTTTTCGTGTAATTTTTTTTACATGGGATTGTGCTTTTAAAAAATGACATTCTTTTGCCATAAAGACTTGCGTTATATACGAATTTTTTACATTGGATTTGACCAATTTTTCATGCTCTGTCCGAATCACCCGTCAAAATCCATCCAATGGAAAATAAACCTTTCGGACTCGGCGTGGAATTGGTCAAAAAGTAAAAATATAAAGAATTTTTCGACCGATTTCAACCAATTCCAACTCAATTACAGATTTTGTCTTTCGCATTAGAATATTCCTTCGGATAGATTTGAAAAGAGCGTTCAAAACTGAGCAGAAATAATATGAAGAATCTATAAGAGTCTCATAATTCCAAGTTTTTTCAGTATTTAAAACATTTCTAGGAAATTCTAGGAATCGGTTGGAATTGGTTTTTCTCTGGCTACAAAAATATTTGCTCAGCATCCACACTTGACATACTCTGATAGATTTTTTATATTATTTCTGCTCAGTTTTGAACGCTCTTTTCAAATCTGTCCGCAGGAATATTCTAATGTGAAAGACAAAATCTATAATTAAGTTGGAATCGGTTGAAAAATTCTTTATATTTTCACTTTTTGACCGATTCTACACCGAGTCCGAAAGGTTTATTTTCGATTGGATGGATTTTGACGGGTGATTCGGATAAAGCATGAAAAACTGGTTAAAACCAATGTAAAAAAATCGTATATAGCGCGAGTCTTTACGGCAAAAGAATGTCATTTTTAAAAGCATAGTGTAGGAATCGGTGCATCCCTACTTCCATCCATGTTGCTTAAAATAGCAATCATTTTGAAATAGTCCATTATATGATAAGCGCGACTCGAATTTCACATTAGTTTAGAAAGATAAAGGAAGTGAAAAGAAATGAAATAAAGTGTCAGTGCACAGCTACACACACACCCATATTTTCGTCTGTTCGTTTTTCAAATGTTACAATTATTTTCGAACATTACACAATGTATCAAGTTTACGTGAATATTCATTTAACCTTCGAAGTCATACAACAATTAGAAATCATTTTTGACACTTCAAATAACAGTGACTTAAAAAAGTATATTTTCATTTCAACTTTATTTACACAAAAATAAATCTATATGTACATATGAAATCATGATAATCTGATTTCTATAGATTCTTCATTTCTGTTAACTGTATAATCTTCTGTTCATCGATAATATTAAAACCAAATACTTGACGACGTTTATCAATGATGCAACTATGTGAAAAAGGTTGATTGAATATTAGAGGTGAACTATAACAAATGTTAAGATAAGACAGATTTTTTAGATGACTAAGTAATATATCAGTAGCGGGGGCAAAATATTTTAATGAAATTACTTCAACTTCACTATCAGCGAGTGAGGAAAAACGTTCAACAAGTTTTAATACTAAGATTGATAAGACATTACAATATCCTGCTATTAAAGTGAGTATTTTAATTTGTTTGAAAATGGAAATAAGATATCGATTGTCGATGAATGAGGATAAATACAAATATGCAGGACTAATTTTGAGATCAATCACATTTGGACATGCTCTAAAAATTGAAAATCTACGTAATATATTAAACTTTATTGTCAGCCATTATTATTCTATAGAATTCAATATCTATCTGAAATAAAATCATACTATTTATCGAGAAAAATATATTAGAATTATCAAAAATAACTCATACAATTAGAAATCGAAATATGACTTTCCATCAATATCAAGTAAACTTACTGTAGAATAAATTTAATATCTTCAGATCCAGATGAACCAATATTTGTTTGAAAGTTAATTTCAATTAGATTGGATTAATGAACAATATTTGAAAGATAAGCAACATATTGCTGTGCATGATCATTGTGAGTTGATTCAACACAGTCCACTAAAACAAATAAAGATAATGAATAAAAACGATGAGACGAATAATCAGATCAAATATGTTGTTCTTACCAAAACTGAATGACTTGTTCCACGATGATGAACGTATTGCTCGCATATCTATGACAAGAGAATTGATATGTTGAAATAAAGGAAAAGAAGAAGTAATTCTTGGTGTTCTTGTTGTCATGTTCAATTTAAAAACATTTATGTCTGAATAATAAAGATAATGATCATTTATTGTTGTTAATTTTGTTGATCGGGTCTCAAATGACTAATAATTAATATAATTAATAAGTGGGATATTTATTGGTAGATTTCTTTTGTACTTAAGGCGTGAACACGTTAAAACATTGTAACAATAGACTATGTTGACATATTTTATACGTTATACATATAGTAAACAGCAGTGAGTTTCGAAATAACAATACAATGGTATTATTCTAGATGAATCATATATGTGTTCAGTTGGGTAAAAAAAGAAAACAGACACATGTAGTTTTACCGTTTATATTTATATATGTACGTTTCAATTTACAATGTAACAACTCATGTTTCCTGCATCAGATATTTATAGATAAAGGTATGTATAGGGAAGGATGAATGTTCAAAGTACCCATATTGTCGAGCGTGAATCGATAAAAAGCTAATCATATTTATTTTCGAATGTTGAGCCCTTTCAGATAATCTATTCAACAATTTGCTGTTTTTTCGCATACCCATGGACAGATACCAGCATATTTGTGAGATTTTTGGTACTAGATATGTAGTAAAAGTAAGTTGATATTGGTGGGCTTCTGCGGATGTCTCAAGGTGTTTGTTAAACTTTAACCAATATCTATATAGATAGTCATTTATCGTGTATTCTTTAGTTAAGGTCTATACTGTTATGTCGTCCCAACGCTTCATATTATGTGTTATACGTAGTCCTGTACAGTAAACATGATCTATTAGTGTTTGTTGGTTTTCGGTGTAGAAAAACCAGCACGAGAATAACCAAATTATACGCGGAAGCGCATAGGCTAAGATACCATGCTTACTAGATAGAGTATGACGTAGTGGCGTCGCTAGGGTGAAGCCAGATCAGGCTGAGCCATATCACCGGCTTTGGAGCCTCACAATCCTTATTCCAATTTATCGATTGAATTCTTGAATTGAAGAAATAAATATGATTTAGAGTACTGAAGTCTGAATTTTGAATGGAAAAGAGTGTAAATATTTTCTCCATTGATAGTAATAGGGAACCATCTGTTAATTTATGTAACTATTAGATATTAAAAGCACTAATCATCATTTTGCTTTATTCATTATGACTCACAAGTACTGAGAGAAGCTAGCGATAAGTTGTAATATTTCACAAACAGATAAATTAAAAATGTGCAACCTAGTAAGTCAAAATCAAGAACTAGTATGTCTTTCTTTTCACCATCTTCACCAAAAAAAACAAAGGTTAATTAATCAAGAGTTACACCAATTCATCCACATCTACGGAAACATCAACAGAACTTGTTTTGTCTGAAGAAACAAATTTGCATCGACTTGATGCAAGTACCAATCTACATGATAGTGCAACTACTATACATAATAAATCCATTTCAAGAAATTCTATGACTGATGCTCATTTAAGTTTGAGCGATATTTGCTTATTGGCTATCGAGCGTGATCTCGATATCCATTTTGAACAGCTTATTGATACTTTTTCAGATATTCATAAAAATAGTCGTATTATACTCAAATAAATATTCTTTGCTTTTTTTATTTCAAATTTTCTCTTCTCAAACATAAACTATATAGGCATCTTCGTATATAAGATACAAATATGTCACATATGATACGACCGTTTAATTTTCGTGCAGCGGAAGTTTAAATTTTAAACTTTAAAATCTAGAAATAATATTTGAAAGTTTGTTATGATGATTAGTGCCTAAAGCCAGTCAACGAGTACGTTCGAAGGAGAGATGGGGCTGAGCCTCATCACCGTTAAATTGCTGGTGACGCCACTAGTATGACGTATAGAATTATACACGTAATAACCCGAAGAAAAATAAAATAAAAATAGAATAAATGTAGGAGAAAATGAGAAAAAGAAAGAAAAGAAGAAAAAGAAAGCGAAAGGAGAACAATAAAACAATAAAATAAGGACGAGCTGCAATAGCGAGAGACAGAGCACGAAACATTAAATAAACAATCAAATGGTAGATTTCACTCAACTAAAAATTCAAGCCATTTCAGAGGCAGCGATTGATGTCTCTCACGTTTGCGTCTGACTCGCTTCATTCAAAAAAATGACCTAGATGATCATTCTTATTTTTACGAAATGAATCCCAATAAAATACATCATTGTAGGAGGGCGAACGACCTAAATCTGATTTTTCAATTCGTTCTAATCTTTTCTTTATATATCGTTCTACATAGTCTTCTAAAGATGCTTCATTTGTTATTTGCAAAATGTTTGTTGCTCGAGCAAAAGGGCAGCGATGCACTAGTCTTAATTCGTTCCAAAACTTTCTTAACAACAATTCTTTTTGGGTTTTCGGTAGGAATGGATACAGCGGAAATATCCAGGCAAAATACGGAAAACTGTACGCAGAAAAGCATCTTCTCAAAACTTCTGTTGAGACAGTTTTGCCACCTTTCATTCATCTTAACTTACTGAATGCTTGCTGAATATTCTCAAGGGCTTTATCAATTGTTGGTTTTAAGGACATCTTATTTGTCCAGGCGAAGCCTAGATATTTAAACTCCTTAACTACATCTAATATCTTACCATTCATAAAAACATCGATTACTGGATTTTGAACTTGTATGTGAAAAATTTGTGCTATTGTTTTCGACACATTAACTGGTTGCTTCTATTTTTTCAAATAATTCGCTATTTGGTTACAAATTTTTGTTTCTTCCTCTTCTAGAAACTTAATCATTGACTTTATTTATCGACATATTGGTGGAGATATGAGTATGTTGAGATCATCAGCAAATATGTGGATAGAATGAGCACCTACACATGCAACTACACTCTAAAAAAAATCGTTTTTTTTACTGAACCCAAAAAAGGCTCTGGAGATTTCAAAAAGCATCTAAACGTGTCCAAAGTCTCAAAAAAATGGATAGAAAATCTACGAAACCTTTAAAGGTTCATACGGTGTATTGAGGATAAGAACCTTTTGCCGCGAAACCTTTTTTAGGTTCCGTAGAGCAGGAAAAGGTTTCGTAGGAAAATACGAAACCTTTAGAGTTTCGTATTAAATTCTACGAAATCATGAGGGTTTAGTACGAATCCATTAGTTTTTTTTATCTGAAACTCTAAAGGTTTCGTATTTTCCTACGAAACCTTTTCCCGCTCTACGGAACCTAAAAAAAGGTTTCGCGGCAAAACGTTCTTGTCCTCAATACACCGTAAGAACCTTTAAAGGTTTCGAAGATTTTTTTATCCCTTTTTTGAGACTTTGGACAAGTTTAGATGCTTTTTGAAATCTCCAGAACCTTTTTTGAGGGTTCAGTAAAAAAACAATTTTTTTTAAGAGTGTAGGTCACAATGGTAAACAATAAACAGTTATGGACTTAAGCAACTATCTCGAGGCTGGCAGACATATGTATTAAATATATCTGACTTGTTCTCTCCAAATATAACATATATGCACGGCAATCATTTAACCACGATACAATTAATTTTAATAGGCCTAAATGAATACTGAGTCTGCTGAGTTTTACGGTAAGATCCTTATGCCACACTTTATCGTAGACGTTTTGATAGCCTACACTGAAAAAAAAAGGTACTTTACCGAACCTAAAAAGGTTTCGAATTTTGAAACGAATTCTAAACCTTTTTACGATACTGTACCGAACTTTGAAGGTTTTGTAAAGTCACACGAAACCTTTTCAGTTTTGGTAAAAACCTGAACATAGTTTCGTGTGACTTTACGAAACCTTTAAAGTTCGGTACAGTATCGCAAAAAGGTTTAGAATTCGTTTCAAAATTCGAAACCTTTTTAGGTTCGGTAAAGTACCTTTTTTTTTCAGTGTACATAAATTGCGAACGTCGGGATATTAGCTGTCATCTTTTTTTTGACTTCTTGATATATAGACAGAATTCTAGTAGGGAGAAGACAACCTGAACGAAATCCCGATTGTTCGATAGGAACTAAACTATTAGCATCAGTCCAGTGTCTTATTCTTTCTAGCATAATTTTCTCAAATAGCTACGAATATGCTGCTAAAAGTGATATTGGTCGTGTTTGATCACATAGTGGTACTCCTGCTTTTAGTTTATTCAGTGTAATTATTTTAGCTAATTTCCAAACATCTGGATACCTATATTCTTTTAACCAAGTATTAAAGCAATTTGCAAGACAACTAATACAACCTAGTGGAATTTTTTTGATCATATAATTCGACACTGCATCGAATTCACATGATTTTTTCGGTTTCAACTGCGATATCTGTTTCTTTATTGCGACAATGTTTGTTGTTTCGACACTTTCATTAGCCATTGCTAATTTATTCATCCGTTCTAAATATTCTATATCAATCTGAACTTCGTAAGGATCTGACATATCTGTATTTGGAGTTTGAAACTGTTCCGAGTAGTATCGATAAAGTTTATCCTTGATTTCATTCTCGTTCGTTAGTATTGCTGTACTGGTATCTAGTTTCGAAAACGGTAGTGATCTATGTTTATATATTCGCGAGAGATAAAGCCAAAACGCATGCTCCTTATTGTCGTTTGTTTCTTGAATTTTTGACAGAAACTCTCCCCATTTACCCGTCTTATACTTTGCAATTTCAATCTTTACTTCTTTTGTTATCACCCGCAGTAGCACTCTTGTTTCTTCATTAATATTACATATTTGTCTCTCTCGATAGTATTTATTTCTAACTCGTTTCACTTTTTGCAGGTTCTGAATAAGATAAGGAAGTAGAGCTGGTTGGAATTTTTCTATTTCTTTCCATTGCATTAGTCTGTTTTTTAAAGCAACAAGAAAGCGCACATAATTCATATACCAATCATCCAGTGGCATCCCTCTAATCTGCTCCTTTTGCCAAAATTCTTGTAACAACGTAAGAATGGCTTCATATGCCTTCCAATGTACGTGAGGAAAAATACTATTCTTATCAAATATTAAATTCTCACAAGTTAACATTATTGGTCAGTGATCACTGGTATCCATCTTTAGAGTCTCTCCCCTTGTTCGTCCTAAATTTGTAAATGCTAAATCAATGTTCCTATTCGAACGTTTTGAAGAATGTGATAATGAGGGAATGTAACAAAGATTTTTTTTCCATCCATTCTTTCAAAATGCTACCTCTTTTATCTGCTGACGTGCTATCCCATTCTTGTACGGATGCATTAGTATCACCAGTTATTATTGTATTTTTGGTGATGTATTACTCTAATTCCTCTAAAACTCTTGTTTAGCCTGTTGGTCAGTAAATAGCCATTATTCTAACTGCTTCAGAGAGGCCATCGACGTCAACAATAATTGTATTTTCAATACTTAAGTCGATTCTTGATCCTTTTAAATGTTTTCCTATAGCTATACATACACCAACACTTTTATTAGTTCCATGTTGATGAAAAATATTAAAATGAAGTATTTGAGATGTATTCCATAATTCTTCGACTTCCGTAAATACACATATTGATGCTTCTATTTTATAAACAATATCGATTACTTCTAAACTTCTGGACCCCCATCCTTGTACGTTATAGCAGAGAATGTTCAAAGATATTTGCTCTCTTTCTACTTTTTTCTGAGTTTTGTTTTCCCACTGTGTGAGGATATTATCTAGGATGCCAGCTGTGAGCCATTCTGAAAGAACTTCGTCTACTACTTTCTGATCATTTACGTGGAACCCCCATTGATACAACTGGTTCATCGCTGTCTCTTTAGGATTAAAAGTTCGAGAGGGAAAAAGGATTTAGCATCTATTCGTAATTTTGAAAATGTGGTACTCATCTATTGGCTCATATTTTGATCAGTTTCATTATTCGGCGTGATGCTAGATGCACTCGACGTTGGTTGCGATGGAGAGATTTGTGGCAGTGGAGATGAACTATGTTTTCGTCGAGCCGTGTAATCCGTTTTCAAATAATTTAATTGAGAGTTAAAACTGCTATAAATTTTTTGTAATTGATCCTGTNCATCACATTTGTATTATTGTGTAGGGTACACTTATTGGTGATTGCCTCGCATCATGCTGTGGTCCATGTTCACTATTGCAAATGAAGAAAGAACTCGATGCTCAAGGTGTCCCAAATCCGTTTGATAATTAGAGAAATTCATAGAGCTTTTAGCTCACGATGAGTTGTTGAACTCTAATGAAATATCAACAAAAGTTGATTCTAATATGAACGAGTGTTTTATTTTTTGAAATTTAAACCAAATAAATGACGCATGAAGCAGAAACAGGAACAATACCGATCAAGAATACACACAGTATTCAAAGTTATCTGATAGAAAGATCATGCAGAATAGGATTGTTCGAGTTGTGTTTATCTCCATTAAATATTGGAAAGAATTTTGATGGAATGAGTCTGAAAAGAAAGTGCTGCAATGATACTTTATTTTATTACGTAAGGTGAATGAAAAATTGTAAGAAAATAATATACTTTAGAAACGCACACAAAGAAACAGAACATCCTATTTATTAAACATCAAACTTATTTAATACTATTATTTGCGACATGTTCTCTATCTGATTCACTGTAAACGCTATGCGAAGGAAATGCCACATTGTTAGGTCTATAAATTTATGTAAATCTAATTTCATAAATAAATTTTACGAATAAAAAAGACTTATAGTGAACACTCGACATTGCATTAAAAAATATGCAAGTATAATTGTATTTGCTATCTACAAGATACAATATAGAAGGCAAATTTAGTACGTAAGTGAATGAACAATGAAATGTTTCCTTTGATTTCTTTAGGATCTGAGGGAAAAGGAGTTACTCCTGATAACAGTACACAGACATTTCCATTTCTGTGTAAACGTATGCACTGTCCATAGATCAAACTCTTCGTCGGTTTATTAAATAGTATATTACAGCAACTAGAAAAGTATCTGACATATAGAAATAGATCTTTACCTAAATATATTATTTGTTTTTAAAAATTTACTTAATAATTGTAAGAATAGTGAGAAATACATCTTCTTAACACACTTTATTATAGACAGTGTGCGGAGATTGTAGGAGAATAATTTTGAATTTAACAGAAATGATACTACAAGATCATTCAAAGATAGATTTTTATTCTTGTTACAGAGACCCAGCTGTAACTTAAATCAATTCACAACGTAAAAATACACGTTTCTATTTTCAACTCCTAATCTGATCTATTTTATTATTCTTTTTTTTCCTATTTATACTGTACAACACATATACCCTCAAGAGAGAGAAAAGAAAGAATGAAAGAACGGTTGACGCATGTGCATCTCGAGTAGGATTGCATATATAAGAAACACAACACATAGAATAAAACAAGAACGTATAAGAGTTAAATAAATAAATAAGGCTTGTTAGAGTACTCTCTAACAATTCTATAAAACAAATATTCGTGACTCGCGAGAGAAACAGAATATGATCAAACTTTGGGAGATCCGCTAAGCTAAGTGTATGGAAGTTTAGCTGTAGATAGATGCGGTTGTACAAGATGTTGGAAGCTTGGAATCGATGTGTAAGATCTTATCAAGATCGTGAACAAATGAGCATCAATTTATTTAAATGCTTACAAATATTTAGAATGGTTCTAACCCTAATCGAACATCTTGTAAGTAAGATCTTGGATACAAATAAGTGAACAGATCTTGAAAATTTAGATACAAGATAATATGATTATCTTGTACCAAGATCTTGGATGACGTATTCTGAAAGCATGTTTTGATATTTTTTCAATTTATTTTTATTTTAATTATTCCTGTCCCAAATGACTCAAGCAAACCAGATGTTGGGATCTGGCTGGTTTTATGTTGGTCCGATATCCGTCAAGCCAATTTAGGGTAGTCCTCTCTCGAATAATCAATAATCGAGAAATAGTTTAGAAAACAAATTATTTTGAAAAATTATGTTTCGTATGTTCAATCATGCTGCTTATATTCAACTATGTGTGCATAAAAAAATGGTGAATGACTAGATAGCCTATATAAACACACTAATAATGTAGCTTTCTGTTTTACTCAAGATCTTGTGAGAAAATCGTAGTAAACGATATATTTTCCATGATCTTGCCAAGATCTTATAGATATATATTTATCTGATACAACCAAGATATGTACATACAAATTATCTTTTTAAGATCTTAATAGGATCTTATTATCGATCCCAAGATTTCCAGATCTTGCTTACAAGATGTTTCACTAGGGTATAAAGTCAAAATTTACTGAACCGTCACTATCAGCTTGACTTCACAGAAGAAACGTTTCCGATGTTATGTTCTGCATTAGTAATACACTCCATTTCTAAAGCAAAATACTTGTTATTGAATAATCTTATTCATCATAAGAATGATCTAGTAGTATCTAGTGCCAAACCGTTTGTGCACGATAAAATATTCGATATCTATAAATTTAAAGCATACAAACGACAGTTGGTCACATGCAAGTATAAAATTTGTAACATATAACTTTGCATAGTATCTGTCTTGAACCAATTATGATCTTGCTGAATTTAGCGATAAGTTTCTATTATAATTTTAGTATATCTTTACTTCAATAAATAAGATAATTTTTCGCGCATTTATTATATTTTTCTATTAAAAACACCAAATTTCTATAATTCAACAAGAAAACAACTCAAAAGGTGATCATAATCACCAACAGCAGTTATACAAAATGGCAACATATACGTATATACACTCATTCATCACTTTCATCCTTTCCTCTCTCAAGATTAGACGCACGAGCGCTTGCTTGCATTCTCCTCTGACATCATTATCCTCCTCGCCGTCTTGTTGAATGAGGAGAGGAATTAACGGTAATTATCCTTACGATAAGAAAGATTCATCATCAAATCTTAAGCTAAATTTATCTATGAACGAAATGCCAAAACTAATCAATAAACAACTGCTGGTGCTTTTGATACATCAGATGCCTATAATCTGGAAGAAATGATCACTTTCATTCGTCAAAATCCAAATATCGCGTTTGGTGTTCATGAACATCTTACGCACCATACTCATCCTCACCGTCTGAATGCTCCAACTCAATCATCAACTCCTTAAACGCCTAAACGAAATTTAGATTCAAGTGATAATGATGATGCACAGATATCAAAACTTACAACGGGTATTATCGAACGGTAAACAGAAAAAGACTCGTGAAATGAATTTATCGAAAGTTCCAAGCCCTATACACAAAATGAATAATAATCTACAATTGAACCAAACTCGACAACAAGCATCAGTACAAAAACAACATCGAATTCTTTTTGAACAATTAAAACATGCTGTTTCAAGCAATCTTCCATGCTTTTTCATTGAATACGAACAAGCTGAAAACTCGAAGAATAGACCATCGGATATATCAGCAGCACGGGTAATTGAAGATTATTTCAATCAACCAGGAATCTCGATATCGTTCTCACTAGTCGGTCATGCAGGTAATAAATTAAAATTAGGAGTTAACAACAAAGAGTCGTATGCAACATTGATCAATACGGATAAATGGCCGTCACAAGTTAATAACATCAAGATCACCGTGAGTAAGTCAAAATTTACCCAGGATTCCTTTGCGCTTGTGGCTCGATATGTATCTTTTCAGTACGATGATGAGTTTGTCAAGGAAGAAATTAAACAAAATCTGCAATCAGTCGAAAATATCAGACAAATTCAGTATCGTTTCCAACGAAGAACAAGGGATTTTTGTTTCGTCATTAAAGACTTGGATGAATGTAATTCAACTTTAAAATTAGGTCGGATATCGATTGGAAATACATTTTGGACCATTACACCATTCCTGACTGGTAATATAATGACTTATTGTACTCGTTGCTGGTGTTTAGGTCATATGAGAGATAAATGTAACGGAGAATATTCACGTTATCGAATATGTCTTGATAATCTTATAAACGGTCAAACACATGTATGTTCGAATACGATCCGGTGTGCTCAATGTGATGGTGATCATCATTCGTTATCTGGTGAATGTGGGAAAAGTAGTTGAATATCGATCTAATCTAAAAGAACAAGTTGATAATGCACTATCAACAGGCAAACTACAACGTTTAGCGCCTCAAGATCGTGTTCATCCGACACAATTTCGGCTGAAGCAAAATGAATTCCCGTCACTGCCATCACTAATGTCTTGCACTACTCCATGGAAACAAACTTCAGTATCATCAGCAGTAACAAATAATATAAATGGAATCGAAGATACAACGAAATTATTGCTCTCGATAAATCAAAACATTCTGGATATGAAAGATAATACTCGGTGTATTGATGAAAAATTAGATTGCATTAACGAGAAGGTAAATCGTACATCTCTAGATGTTGCGCTGCATGATGAAATACTAATGAAATTACTACCTACACTCGCATCATTAGTCGATAAATTTATCTGGCCGATGATGTTAAACGATGTTGCAGGATTGAGAAATAAACAGGATCAATTACAAAAAATTTATAGCAGTTTTAACTCTCAATTAAATTATTTGAAAACGGATTACACGGCTCGACGAAAACATAGTTCATCTCCACTGCCACAACTCTCTCCATCGCAACCAACGTCGAGTGCATCTAACATCACGCCGAATAATGAAACTGATCAAAATATGAGCCGATAGATGAGTACCACATTTTCAAAATTACGAATAGATGCTAAATCCTTTTTCCCTCTCGAACTTTTAATCCTAAAGAGACAGCGATGAACCAGTTGTATCAACGGGGGTTCCATGTAAATGATCAGAAAGTAGTAGACGAAGTTCTTTCAGAATGGTTCACAGCTGACACCCTAGATAATATCCTCACACAGTGGGAGAATAAAACTCAGAAAAAAGTAGAAATAGAGCAAATATCTTTGAACATTCTCTGCTATAACGTACAAGGATGGGGGTCCAGAAGTTTAGAAGTAATCGATATTGTTTATAAAATAGAAGCATCAATATGTGTATTTACGGAAGTCGGAGAGTTATGGAATACATCTCAAATACCTCATTTTAATATTTTTCATCAACACGGAACTAATAAAAGCGGTGGTGTATGTATAGCTATAGGAAAACATTTAAAAGGTTCAAGAATCGACTTAAATATTGAAAATACAATTATTGTCGATGTCGATGGCCTCTCTGAAACAGTTAAAATAATTGCTATTTACTGGCCAGCAGGCCAAACAAGAGTTTTAGGAGAATTAGAGTCATATATCACTAAAAATACAATCATAACTAGTGATTTCAATGCATCCGTAAAAGAATGGGGTAGCACGTCGGCATATAAAAGAGGAAGAATTTTGAAAGAATGGGTGGAGAAAAACAATCTTTGTTACATTCCCTCATTATCAAATTCTTCAAAACGTTCGAATAGAAACATTGATTTAACATTTACAAATTTAGGAGGAACAAAGGAAGTGACTCTAAAGATGGGTACCAGTGATCACTGGTCAATAATGATAACTTGCGAGAATTTAGTATTTGATAAGAATAGTATTTTTCCCCACGTACATTGGAAGGCATATGAAGCCATTCTTACGTTGTTACAAGAATTTTGGTAAAAGGAGCAGATTAGAGGGATGCCAGTGGATGATTGGTATATGAATTATGTGCGCTTTCTTGCTGCTTTAAAAAACAGACTGACGCAAACTCTTGTAAGCACTTCCAAGTGTAACAATAAAAGAGCGAAATTTAAAAAATAAAAAAAAAGTCACAACCGAACAGGGTCTCTGTTAGGGGTTCATCCGTACCAGTATACTGGGTGCTGGTAATACTGGTCACCAGTAATACTGCACTGTAAAACAAATTCGTAGAACAATAAACCCTAGTACGTTTGGAAAGTCTTCCTAAACCCTTAAAAGGTTTATTCGGGTTCGTCAAACCCTTTAAGGGTTTTAGTGTAAAAGGGTTTCTGAGGAAAAGGGTATTTGAAAATAAAAAGGGTTTATGAGTAGCAAAAAAGGGTTTATTGTTCTATCTTTTCATGAAAAGGGGTTTTTTATTCTATGGTGAAGGGTATATTAATATGCACTTTCATGAAAAGGATTTCTTAGTCTATGCCCAAGGGTATACTAATATATCCTTTCTTGAAAAGGGTTTTCTATTCTACGGTGAAGGGTATGTTACCCACGAAAAAAAATTCGTAGAAAAAAACGCAGTTAACCGTGGTATTGAAAACCTGAGGGTCTGGGTGTGGGTGTGTCCAGAACATCAACACCCACACCCTACTAAATATTATCTATGTAGACTTAATGTGCAGTAACATCAGTTCACGAATAACTTTCTATAACGGTGCAACCTAAAGATGGCATACTGACAAATATGTTCTCTGATTTAATAAATAAAGCAAGCTGATTGATTCAATTCGTAAAATTTGTTAAAAAATAACATAACAAACAAAACAATGAGTCACAATACAGACTCTTTTGATTCTGGGCTTACACGTTGCTAACTACACACCTCTTTATCAGTACACATAAAGCGCAACTAACACAGTTATTTATCAATTATTTGCTAACAGAAAATATGATGGTGTGCATGTGGACCGTCTTTTTTTCTCTCCTAACTTGCTTAGTGAAATATAGTTTTTCTGGTCGATCAGTTATTGTTCCAACAAAATATGGCGACGTACTAGGATATGCAACAGATCTAAGTCGTATATTTTATGGTATTCCATTTGCTCAGCCACCACTGGGTCCATTGAGGTAAATAAATAGGCTAACATATTCTTTTATTATAATCAAATATTCAGATGGAATCTGCCAGCACCTATCAGTAGATGGGCTCCTGCAACAATAAATGCAACTGAAATGCCACCTGCTTGTCCTCAACCTGCATGCGATATTCATGATATTCTATGCCCAAAAACTGTAAGTAACATGGTATCATTTGAATAATCTATTCTAATTCGAAAACACTTAGACATCGGAGGATTGTCTATATTTGAATATTTTCACTCCACTACAAAACAATTCATCATTACTTCCCGTCATGATATTTATTCCTGGAGGTAATTTTCAGTTTTTGGATGCTTCCTTAGTAATCTATGAAGCAGATCGTTTTGTCAACACGACTAACGTCGTCTGTATATTTATTCAGTATCGATTAGGTAAAAAATATACTGTTCATCGATGGATTATATGCTTCTTTCTGATATATCAATAGGTGTACTTGGCTTTCTTGCAACTGGCACTGGTCCAAACGATTTCAAAGGTAATTATGGCATATTAGATCAACGATTAGCAATTGCTTGGATCAAATCAAATATCGATGCTTTCGGAGGAGATCCGAATCAAGTGAGATTGAATCACAATTTCTATGACAAACATCATGGATTTTCATCATTTAGATTACACTGTTTGGTCAAAGTGCTGGTGCTCAATCAACAGCATTACACTATGTTACAAGTGATATGCAATCCTTTTTTCAAGCTGCTATAATTCAAAGTTCTCCCATGGCAGTTCCATTCAGGTAAGACAATGACATTATAATTAGACAAACAAATTTCTTATTTATCAAATGACCAGAACTTATGCAGAATATATTACTCCTACCGTCCTTCTAGCTGAAAAGCTCAATTGCACTGTTGGCGATCTCGAATGTTTTAGAAGAGCGTCATATCAAGATATTGTTACAGCTCAAACAGCAGTAAATAGTATGGTCACGTCGATGAAAGCTTTAATCTTCTTTGAACCGTGGCTTCCTGTTATTGACAATACAATAGTTCATGGTCAACTTTTAGATCTGGTTACAAATGTATCTTTTCCACTGAAACCACTCATTACCGGTACATTGACGGAAGAGGCCTTAGGATTTATACATGACATATGGTCAACGCCAGTATCACCTAAGATTTACGTCGAAGTTGGTATTGTTATATTTGGTACCAAGTTTCTTAAAATCGTTGAACGTTATCCACCAGAAGGGTCGGGCGATCAAAGACCACTCTTGGCTCGGCTTGCTACTCAATGGATATTTGCTTGTCCAACGCGGGTTTTTGCTCGAAAAACAGCTACCTATTCATATGTATTTGGTTATCCACTTCAAACAAATGGCACATTCAATTCTTCTGGATGTGAAGGTCATACGTGTCATGGTGATGAATTGGTATTCCTATTTGAAGCATTCTGGACGAATTTGACTACTAATACTGATCGATACATATCTACAACATTGGCTACCTATTGGACAAACTATGCTAAAAGTAAAGATACCAATCAACCAGTACAAATTCCTTTGGTATGGCCTAAAGTGACTAATCAATCTGAACAATATCTATACTTTCAAGATCCACTTCAAATCAAAGAAAACTATTTAAAAGACGATTGCGACTTTTGGGATGAAATTGGCTATTGAAAAATTTGAGCTCGAGTTTTGATGATTGATAATAAAACCCGCGGAATTGGATATGTGAGAAAATTTCGACGTACGATGTCATTACGACTTAAACATGTTTATCTCAGAGAAAATTCAGGTAGTCTTTCTTAATTTTACTTACAAAAACAAATAGCAGGCTAAGAAACATGTCAAACAGGCAAATAAATATAGATGAATATTATATTTGTTCAAGAAGAAGACTGAAGCTTTGAATATAACAACAAAGCACTCTATTTATCGATTTTTTTTATGTGACATAGGATCGTTTTGAATTACTCTTTATGATTCATACAAGCACGAAACGAATCAAAGAAAAGAAATGACGCCTACTGTCTGAAAAAACTCAATAGCCAAGAGAAGAAAAACATGGCGACGAGAGTGAGATTTGAACAGGAATGAGTCAAATATGACATTTAAAATAAAATTCAAATTACCATTTGATAAAAGAGCATGTGTAATAATTGAATGAAATTTCTCACGCGGGCAGAGCCCATTAGATTAGCAGTCTAACGCCTTAACCGCTCGGCCATCTCGTCTATGTTGGTCTCATTTGATTGTGCAACAAATCGATGAAATGCTCAAGCTTTCTTATTCGTTCGTTTCCGTCTGACATATTTGAGAAGTTCTGGTAATTATCATCCTCACAGATCTTAACTCCTATGTATGAAAGCAAAATAACAGAAAGAAATGTACAGATGTGTTTCTTCTCTTCAAACGCTTATTTCAGGAACTTCCATTTTTTTCTGGTTTACAAGTCTTTCCTCTAGCATCTATTTAACGTAGTGTATTCCGATAACTAAGATTTAACTGATCATGATATTTCAAAAAAATGAGATTTTAGAACTTTCATTGAAATACTATTAATCTACTCAACAAGAATAAACTAATGTCAAATCTGGTTCTGATGCTTCTTATTAGCAATCTGTTGATTTTTTTTCTTCTCTTTCACACATTAGTATAGCATTCGAAATGTCGTTTATATCAAAGTTCAACGGATGATGCTTCGACTATCGAGGCTGGATTTTCACTTATATTTTTTCAACAATTATAAATCGATTATATTACTATTGCTATCTATTTTCGAATTATTTCGATTAATCATTAACTAAAACTATGAGAAAAGTACTCGCGTGTTTTTATTAATGTTAGAATAGTCTATATCTCATATCATCAATGCTCGGATATTCTGTCTATCTGATTATTTATACTAAATATGTTATCAAGATGTTAACTGTTGTATTCTACCGCAAATGCACTAAGAATACGTCTGTCAAAGGATACGACAGGCGTCAATAGAAAATTTCTCTACACCAAAGATAAAAGTTAGTTTTAGTAAAAAAAACAATGGATGACGTAGCACAACATATCTTTATAATAACAGCAGATTACGAGCGAAAGCTGAAATCAACTGAAATGATTATCCAATGATCGTGTATTTCATGTAGCTCTACGTGTAATGTAAAAGTATCAGAAATTTAAACATAATAACAAAAGAAATTTGATGATTAATGAAAGATGACAATATCAGAGAATAAGCAGCGTCTTTTCTGTTCTGTTTTATCGATGATAGTCTGAGCTGTTGTTCTTGGCAAGCTGTTTAATTTTAACAGTGAACACATAATCTATTTAAATTGTAAAATCACATGTTCACTTCAATATAATATTTGTTTTTCTGACAATCAAAATCTTCTATTTAACTTAGAAAACTGACGATTCTGATGATAAACAGAAAAGAAGGTAAACCATCTGAAGCTATTATTATTTTGAATAGAAATCGTGATTGTAATCTATAATTCAATGTTTTTTTCCTTGCTCAATAGAACAGTGTCGAAAAAATATCAAGATTTTCCATGGAAAACGTAATTTTATACTAAGGACAGTAGACATTGAATGATAATAAATCAATTTGAAATGAGTATTTTTCTTTATCTAATTTTCATTGGCAACAAAAATTATCGTAAGTTAATTAATTCTATAGACTAACCGATAAAATTAATGAAGCATTAAAAAGAATCTGTCCTATTGAGTGAAGAAAAAGAAGAGCAATTATTTTAATTATGTTTTTTTTTCTATAATAAATCTTAACATAAATCTTCTTTATGAGAAAATCAATAAAAGAAAACAACAATTTGCACAAGTTTGACAATTATTATATATTTAAAATATATAAAAATGACAAGTTTTTGGAGATTAATAAAAGATATTCTTCTACTATTAGGAGTAAGATTCTTCTTTTGTTTCTTTTGTCTTGTCATTCTATGACCCAAAATATTATGCCCATGGCACAGTTCTTGTACTATTCTCTGGTTTTTTTTCTTGTCGAATTACACAAACTATAGCGAAAGCACAGCTTCGTTCTTTTTTCTTTTGCAATCAGTTGTAACCATACGAATAATCGACTTCTCTGCACATAGCGAAGAAAAACACACACATACAGATGGAACAACAAAATGAAGTATTGTCTGACAAAGTATCGATGGCTGATAGTTCTACTGTTCACAATAAATTTATATTACTTGGACCGGAGCCTGAAATTTATCGGGTACGAAAGATTCTACTGATTTTAATTAGCATGTTACTGGTCAGTAATTCATAGCTCATTGAATGTATACGTCAAAAGAATATTTCGTTTCATTTTTTAAAGTTTCTTAGTTTCATAAATGTTATCTTTATTCTTTATTCATATACAAGTGTTGATTCATTTCACAGCGAACTTCCTAATAATAGTTCTCAATTTGTATCAATTATTATTTCTATTTTTTATTACGGTTTTGGTTTACTAGTAGCCTATCGTTATTATCAAACAGGTTTACTTGTCGTATGTTATGATTATATGTCGAGTGAACAAAAAAGTTATTTTCCTTTTTCGATTTAGTTCGGTTGGCTTGGTTCGGTGTCTCTTCTTTTAGTACTTGTTATTGCCTTAGTTATTCTTATTGGAACTATTGTTACAACATCACGGCTAGGTGTTGCTAAAGGAATAATTGTTGCTATTATTTTTATTATCGTTTGTCTAACAGCCTCACTACTTCAAGTAATTTCCGTTATCTTAGAAAATTTCTGTAGCTATTCTGTTTCTTTTTGTTTTATTCTAGATTTGTACTGTTCGCTATGCTTTTATTCTATCGAAACTATTGAACAATGTGAAACATTTTACAGTTGACCACATTTAAATAGTTATATTATATTTCTAAATGATGTAATACAGAAATCGATTGTACGACATAACTTGATTCTTTTCTGGAGCCATTATGATATTAATAGCTCTATTTTACTATTTCTTTAATAATTAATAACAACTGTAACGATATATCCTAAGCTATAAATGTATACCAATGAGACAATATTTCAATAAATCTTCAAGTGTAAATAGTTCAACAATATTATCAAGTTTCTATTTTAGCCTATAAAATAATATAAAATCAAAGACGCATAGTATTGATGATCTTCGCGCTGGCTGCATGCCATAATTTAAAAACGTCAATAAATGTGTCTTGCTTTCATAGTTGCATGATTAGTTCATTGTAAACATTATTGAATTTCTAAAAGGAAAATCGATCAAGTCATTATTGATGTACTCACTCGTGTATCTAGTTACTACATGCTTTCAATAGAAGATTTCCTATCATTTAATACAAGTACATATTTATAACAATTCGTATTTAGTTTAGAATAATAATTTCTATCCAACAAATACATACATATGATCGTTTACATCATTAAATTATCATATGTCGTGTTTACATCATTTATACGATTCCAATAGAAAAATTGATTATATTTTTGTATTAAATTACAGTTTACTCAAGATATACTTGAGGCGTCTAATTGAATTATCTGATATTCGAAAAGGTTGGATATGAATAAAAAGAAAAAGAATGAGAAGTATTGTTTTATGCCGCTTTTGAAAGCAAATATCATTCTGACAATTCTAGAATGGGAAAGAACAAAGATCTTTTTCGTATTGAAACTTATGAAAAATATCGAGTACGTTTGTTTGACGGCTGAAATGATATTCATATATCCACTAAGTAGATAACAAGACAAAATATTTCTTACGTTAGATAAGAGTTTCCGTTAAAACAAACATTTCTCTTTGAAATATAAAATTATTCATCATCATCAGAGTTTTTTTTACCCGGACAGAAATAAGTAAGAATCGTATGAGAAATGAATTTCGAATTCTTAATATAAACTCATCTCAATATTTATAAGTCTCAAGTGTTTGTAGCGGTGTTTTGATATCATAATTTATAGTCGCCAATAGTTTTAAAACGATCACGAAAGAAAACATGATTAAGTATCCAATGTTGCGCCCGAATGAAATCATTATTTATCATTCCTATCGTACTACACTTTGAAATAATGAACAATGATAACATTGAATTTCCATTTTGAAAACCACAAAGAAAAAACAAATATCGCTCAATCATACAGACAACCGGTGTAAACTAGCAAAATAAAAAGTAAACAATTTACAATGAATAGAGAAATAAAATATAGATTTATTGTCTTAATGGCAAGTCAATCGCATTGATTAATTCATTATAATCTTTTGAAAATATTAAAATGCCAGATGAACATGTTGATGGTATTCTAACATGAGTTACCGTTGGACGATATGGAATATTACGTGTTTCATTTTCGTTTAATTGACGATCTTCACGTAGAACATTAACAACTTGTCCAAGAACATTCATTGTACGCCACCTTGTATCTGAAAATAATCTTGATTTATTATTATTTCTTGCTAATGGTGTTAAACACATCGGAGATTGATTATAACGTTGAGCAATTTCTTGACGTGTTATATATGTTACGGAATCAATAGTTAATTGTTCGTAGACTTGTTGAGGAGATTGAATTTGAATTGGATTCATTAAATATATTCCGCGAGGTTCAATACCATATATTATACGATGTTGCCAAGATGATAGTTTACTATAAAGATTAATTTTTTGAGATTGATTATGATGATCTATATTCATTATTGCAATAGGTAGAGCACCTAACGCAAATAGAAAAAGGAGATAAGAATTATTTGACTAGAAAAGTTTTTCATTTACCTTGTTTAATCCAATGAGAAAGCCATTGTAATAAATCAACATCTCGTGGTGGCCAAAATGGAAAAAATCGACTATGGATTTGAGAAGAAAATTCTGGATATTGAAGAAGATTTTCATGTAAATCATTTGCAGACATATCTATCATAAATGACAAAAATACGCTTTGTTCTCTATACAGTAGAATGGTTTATTTTGATAACGGAGTCTACCTCAATCAGCAGAATTTTTTGACTACTGAGAATATACGACTCACATGCTAAAAAAAATGAGATCATAAATAAAATCCGCTCATTACTATTTGACTGAATATCTGTCCTTTCTAAAACTGAAAGAGACAAGAAGCTTTTGTTTATAAAAGATGTAGCTAAAGTGACCGATTCATCGATGATCATTTGATAAGTCTACATTGAGTAATGAAATCGATCAAAACAATCACGGAGATCTTAAGTCGAATCAATTCGTTTTATTGGTTAAAGAAGAAGTTCTCTCTAGGAATATCAGCTATCGTATTCATTACCTATCAGAAACCAAAGGTTTTCGAAAATTTCGTTTTAAAGTTCTCCATTTCTTACCAGCTTCACTTCTATATTGTAGATAATCAAGTAATAGTTCTTTTCTAATTGATGGCACTCTTGATTGCTGATCAAGATTAATATCGATATTCAGTTGAAAGTATTGCTAAAATTATTAACGAATAAAAACTTTTTATATTTAATTCTAAAATCTCTGTACCACAATTTGTTGTATTGACGATAGATTATCTATTTGTCGAGCATGATCATCATTCCATAGCATAACATGACGTTCAACAGCACGAACAGCTTCATCAACAATGGCCTTCGAATTCAATTTGAAATAGAACTAAAAAGGATGATTTTAAAAAATATTTACCTGTAGCGAGTCATCGTTTGATACTACCATAATTTCTTCTGATGATTTTCTTAGAAGTTTTTTCTTTCGTAAAAATAAATAATCATTATCGTCATTTTGTTTCTTTTTAATAATTAAATTCGACATTGTTGTTGTTGGCTGTTGATCATCAATAATAATATGTTCGATTTTTTCATATCGACTTCGTGAATTTATCGATAACGATGGTAAAGAAAAAAATGTATGATATTGACATTTGTTTAATGCTGAATCTGATTGTGAATGCTGTAGAGGTTTCTTTTTCGTATAGATTAATTCATTTTCATTTTCGTTGTTATCATTGTTTAATGATATTGTTGATAAATGATTATTTTCATCGTCACTTGATTGACAATCATCATTAAATTGTGCACCGAAACCTTGATCTTCATCTTCATCTATTTGCACAATAACAATGGGAAATGGATTTTGTTCAAACGGTTGATGATCATTATTAGGAATATTTGGATTCAATTGTTCGTCATTTATTATGTCATCATCTGCTTGTTGTTGATCATTATCATCATCCTGATTCGGACATAGATCTTCATCAATAAAATCTTGATCTTCGTTGCCTTCATCTTCATCACTGATCAATTCTCGAGTTGACTAAAATAGAAAATATGAATTTATTTATTAAATGAAATTTTATCTTTATATTTCAATTCAAAGTTATAATAATCAATTCTATGTTGAGGAAACCTACTTAAAAAAACCTGTGCGAATTCAATAAAAACTCGATGGAGGAATACTACGATTAAAGTCATCGTCGCTTGAACAAAATTTTGTAATAACTGCATGTTAAAAAAGATGATCTGTGTTCTATTTTGTTTATGCAATGAAAAGTTCGATCGTCTAGATGCAGAAATACGATACTAGTCGTCTATGGTTGACTACGTTTACTTCTCAATATTGTACGAAATAAACTATGCTTGTTTCCAATATATGTACCTGTGCTCTATTCAATGAAAGACCAACTGATATAATACATGAAATTTATATTTTTTATCATTTTGTACGACTATCAAACAATGAACCTGTTCAATACTTTTTATCAGTAAAGGATGAACTTTTATTTATTCTAGTAGTTCTAGAATCCTATCATATGAAATTTCCAAGTAGTATGGGACTATCTAAAAACAAAAAAGATTGTGTTAAACAAACCTGTTCTTCTTTTTTTTGCGAATCTGATTTATAGCTCGTTTTACTAGCGTCATCATCATCGTCATCATCTTCAATTGTTTCACGTTGATATTCTCCTGGCCGATAGAAACCAACGAAAACTTCTAATTGTTCATTTTGATCATTATATTCATTTAATAAATGAATCCTTTGATCATTATCATCGTCTTCTTCTTCTTCAATTTCGATATTTAATGACGAAGAATTTATTGGATTTTCGTTTCGATGATTATTATTATTATTACTATTATCGACTGGAATATTCATAGATAAAATTCTTGTTGATTGCTGATCATCAAAAGTTGATATTTGTGAATGAGTGTCTAATGTTGAATTTGATACACACGAACAATTTTGTACAAAACTAAACAAATAGAAAAAAATATATATATATATTTTTTTCTATATCGATTCGTATGTGTCTCATAGTTTAATCGTACTGAGGCGAATTTGATGATTGATCAATATAAGAATTCAGATTACATCTTGATTGTGAGGGTCTTGTTGAAAGTATGGTTGTGCATTCAATACACTGATTACTTAAACAATGAGATGTTGAGCAAGAAGATGTAGATGAACGTGTAGAATTTAAATCATTTAATTGTTGTTGAACACTAGTCGAAAGAATATTAAATGAAGATGATGTCGATGTTGATGGTGTTTGTGAACTAGCATATCGAGCATTCGAAGCGTGATAAGCTGTTGATGAAAGAAAAGGATTGGCTGAACTCATCCTAACGGTAGCAGCAACATTATTTAATCAGAAAAGTAAATAAATCTAAAGACAAGCGAAGCAAAAACAAACAGATAATTACACTTATTTATAACAAAATTCATGCTCTTTTTTTATTCTGCAGTGTAATCGAAAAGAAAAGAAAGGAATGAATAATAACAAAAAAGAAAAACAAATTATATGTCAGTCGAAAGATATTTAATATTGCATTGTATTGAAACGTTTTTATTCAGTTTTAGATTTCTTTTGTTCATCGAATGCTTCACCGTATTCATTCACACGAGTTCTATCAACTGGATAAAGCCTGAAAAAAGAAAAATCAATGAATTCAATAATAAAACTCGTTGGCTTGTCTGTCGTCAGCGTTAATCTGAGCCAAACATGTCAGACTATCTCATATTTATATGAATGACAGCATGCACATACGTTTAGCACGCATTCAAGAAGTAAAAAAACAAAGTGTCAAAATAACAACAAAAGATCCGTCAGATTTGCTAAGATATGCAATAACCTTTTTCTTCCGCTTTTAAATAGAAAAAGGTTTTAATGTTTCTAACGATTAGATTTACCTTGTAAATTAACAGTCTATGAGAATAGTATATGTCAAAATCGACAAACATTTGCGATTCTATAAAACAATTTAGTGTCGCTCAAAAAGAAAAGGACAATTACTTTTCTTTTTTTAGATAAATAGACTGTTAACATACGATCTACTTCGAGTGAAACATTTTTTAATAAAATGTCAACTTACCATTTTTGATATAGATAGATAAGAAAAACAAAATCATCCCGAAAGCATGCTAATCGATGAGCTGTTGGCATTGTTATAATAAACGCAAATAGATCATCAATAAATGTATTGAATGCCTATAGATTTCAATGAAAAAATCAGATCATTTTCTTTAATTTCAATTTACTTTATACATAAATGCTCTCCATGGTAAATGAGCAACAGATTTAAGTTTATAATTGAGAAATAATTGAGGCATCATAAATAAAAATCCAAATGCGTAAACACCATTGACAAGTGAATTTATTATCCATGAATACCAACTAAAATTTAAACAAATATTTTACTATATATAACACGATCGACAAGAATTGCTACATTATTGAGATAGAAATTCAAATTCTATTACGGAAGTGAGATACATTTTTGCAGTGAATCATCGAAGACACAACAAATAAACAAACACGTCGGAGACGGCTTATCGTAGACATAACAACTATACTAGCAATGTCATAGATGTGTTTGAATGCAGTTTCTTCTGCATATCATAAACACTCGTAGAAATGTCAGAGACAATGACAGTTCTGGCCTATGTGAGTTTCCAGGCGACATATCAATTAGGTAAAACTATGGCTCTAACGTAAATAGAATAAAACAATTTCCTTCGTGATTAGTAACAGTATCTATATCGTGTTTCGTGTTTCATGTTTGACTTCTGCAAGGATAACACTAAAAAATTGCGTGTTATAAATTAGATTACCTTTTATGATTGTTGTAGACTAATGAATAAATAGCTAGACCAAGACAAAGTGGATATAGAATATAAGATAAATAACGCATTGCCTAAAAAAGAATTATTAAATCAATAATAAATCTTATCTTATTTGCTGTACCGTTGAATCATGTAACATTGTATCAGCTTCTTCTTTTGATACTTCTCCAAACTAAAATAGACAAAGTGGTCTTGTTGTTTGTAAATAAATTATGTATCTATAACGTACTGTGACAACTGGCTTGTAGCCATTGAATCGAACTTTTATTTTCAATGCTTTTGTTACTTTCCAAATCTAAATAATCAATATTTAGAAAAATAAAATAACATCTAATTGCGTTTCTACCTCAATTAATGAACCAATACCAGATGGAATAAGCACCAATAAACTAGCACCAGAATCGAGTAAATACAGAAAAATAATAACATTACTAATTGAACGCCATAAAACTAGAAGAAAAAAAGAAAAAAATTAATGAATTTTTATCTTTTTTATCATCATTTGAATGAACCTGTTCGTAATGATAATCCAACCATTGTTTTTCGATGTCTCCAATAGCTAATATCATTTTTAAAAGCCAAAAAATCAAATAAAGTCTATATAAAAGAAGTTTCTCTTTAATTTTGATTAAAAAACAAAACAGAGACTGAAATTCTTACATGAAAAGCAGCAACAACAAAAGTTAACGCTAATATTGGTAAATTATTATCAGCAAAAATTCCTTTTATTTCATCGATTTCTTTATCTGAAAATCCATACGATCGTGTAGACTCAAGTGCTCGTTCAAAATTGAGCCATAATCTCATACGACCGATTGATATAGGCGTATAAATAAATTTTAATTCAATATTATCATCAGATGTATTCACTGGCTAAATTAGAAAAAGAACCAGATACAATTGAATATTCTTGAACTAGAAAATCTCATGCAAGCTATGCTTGAAGAGCAATTCGAATTCTAAGCTGAATAATTCGAACATCATATATTCTACAAAAAAAAGTCATAACTTTTGTTGACTCATTATTAAAACAGACTTGAAGAATATGTTTTTATGTTCGAGAATTAAATCGCCTGAATTTTATATTTAGCCTATAAATGATAATCTTCATTTGTATGTGACATAGCACTTTTTCAATCGATTACTAAATATAACTCACTCGATAGTCTCGTAAACGGCTAGTTAATTCATCGGAGCTAATCAAAGGACTATACGTTGTTTGAGAATATAAACTAAAAATATTGATTTAAAATAAATGAGAAAAATCTAATGAATAAAATGAGTTTCATACTTTATTAAATGGTAGAGCTCTTGTGGGATTTCCATTCGATCGAATAGAATATCTTGATTAACACCGTGAAATATAATTCGCTGTAAAATATGAGTTATAGGTATATCTGATGAATTCTTTGTTGATTTTTTCTGAATTAAAAATTTTTTTTTTCTGTAATGAATATTAATATTTAGAAACAAACTTGATCCTGTTCATTAATACCAGTGAGACTCGGCGGTAACTTTTCCTGTAAAAGGTTCATGAAATTTTGTTGCGGAACAAGATATTTTGATATTAATCTTTGACGGTAAATATGAATTTTTTCTTGAAACGGATCAAAACCTTGACAAACATAAAAATGCATATAGAATGTTGTATTTTGTCGAAATTGTTTTATTAATGGAATGCGAATCGTTCTGTTAATTAAAAATAATAATTAATAGAAGAAATTTTGGCCAGAATCACTTTACTCATCAAGCGGTTGGTCTATTGTAAAATTATCTAAATTTAATATTGTAACACATTTAGAATCTGTCATTGAACGAGGTTGATTTGCACTTGTTGAAACACAACTATACAACTTTAAGTTACGAGAAAGTTTTAAAAAATGATTAAAAGAAATTTTCATTCGAAATTTACTTTAAGTTTTTTATTTGATGATGATTTTACATGCGGTGCAAGACAATTATTACTTTTACATACTGGTGGACGGAACATTGCATAGAATGTATTAGCTGTGTAAGCAAGATAGATGATAAATATAACTACTGTAATATTAGTAATGCTAAGAATTTTTATTCCAGCCATCTAAAAAGGACAGAAAATGAAAAGATTCAAGTTACTTCGTATAATGAATTGATATTATATCACAGTGATCGATTCTTCAACAAAATCTACAATATAAACATTATAATTCATTATAATTTCATTCTGGATTGATGTTCTCACAAAAAAAAGTTCAATCTCGGATACAATAATATATTATCTCTCAAACAAACAAACAAACAAAAGAAAATTCTACACGCAAAATAAGCGTCATAAACGAATACGGTGAGATGAATATCTAATAAACAAGACAGACAAAAAATAGCTAATAATGGATATAAACAAAGAAAGAAGAAAAAAGTGAATACATATATAAATAAAACAACAAGCAAATTATCCATCAAAACCGAATACATCTAAGTCGGGTTTTTCATCTTCGTTGGGTATGAATGTAGCTTAAAAATAAAAGAAATATTATAGAAAAAAAAAAGTTTCATATTTAAAATAACATACTTCTATTAATGTTAAACTTTCTTTTATCTGAGAAACTTTCCTGATCATCAGATTTTCTTATTATTCCAATTTGTTTTTTATTAGCTGATGATACTGATTTAATCGTCGGTATTTGTTCCATATCTTCATCACCTTCAGCAATATCTTCAACGTGTGGTGCTAAATCTTCCTCTTCTTCATCATAATCATCTTCTTCCATTCCTTCAACAATATTTTCATTTTTATTAATAATCTTATGATTGATTTTTTCTTCAAGTTCATCATCAGCATAATCGTGAACGTCATCTTCATTTATTTCATTTGTTTGATAATCTCTTTCATCATATACATCATGTTTTTGTTCATGTACAGCAAATGTATGTCGATCTAATAAACGTGCTGATGTAAATTGTCGTTGACATATTGAACAATGATAACCGTCTTCTTCTTCATGTTGTTGTTCTTCATCTTCAGGACCTGATGACATACCAATATAACGATGTTGTAATGATGCTGCACGTCGTTGTGGACGACGATTTCCAATCGTTGGTGGATTCGTTACGATTGCTGCTGAAGCATTCTTATGCGTACGTGTAATGTGTGCACGTAAATCAGCGCGAGCAGCAAACATCAAGCCACATTCACTACATTGGAATGGACGAGTGCCACGATGTTTATTCATATGATCTTCTAATTGCTGACTTGTATTAGCAGAAAATTCACAATTAGTACACGAATGAATTGTTTGACCTTTGTGTGTTTTTCCATGCATACGTAATGTATATCTAGAATTTCGAATTCTTTATAATTTTTAGTTTAGCTTGAACGAAGCGAAACATACTTATCAGGAAAATCTTCATCACATTTGTTACACGGCAATGGTTCTGATTGACGGGAATGTTGTTTACTAACATGATAACGAAGATCAGATTTTCGAGCCATGACAGATGGACAATACGAACATGGAAATGATGGTTTTTCAGCTTGATGAGTTAACATATGAGCTTTTAAACTAAAATAATAATTAATCAATAAAGTCTTCATCTATCGTATTAATTGACATGCGATTAGAAATCGTTTTTCCGTTGAATAGTTGTACTAGGCGTTTCGATCAATGCGAGAAAGGCATCGGACCTTATATCAGAAATTGATGACAAACATAATTTTATATAATTGTCTCTTTATTGACGCTTAACTTCGATTGGCAATCATTTTTACTCATTCTGCAATTTGAATAAAGGGGAGTGTGAGTCATCGTTTTAATCACAACAAAACAAAATGTAACAGTTTAAGATAAACGAATCAATGAAAAACTGATAACCATCGGAATCTTTTCTATGAACTTACCTATTGCTTTGGGTAAATCGAAAATTGCAAATTGTACATTGATATGGTCTTTCACCTAGAAAGTAAAAGGTAAACATTTTTATCCCATTAGAAAACCTCTCGTCTTACCTGTATGCACACGCAAATGTCTTTTTAATTTGAACGTATCCGGACTACAATACGAACAATGCGGACAAGCGTAGGGCTTTTCCTATTTACATATTAACAAAAGAAAAACATTAAAATTATCATGATTCATTATTAATCATACTCCAGTGTGTGTACGAATATGTCGTCGTAGTTTACTTAATTCAACTGTTGCATAGCCACATTCTTCACATCGATGTGGTTTTTCCAGTGTATGTCTAACACAAAGAAAAATGAAATAGTTTTGTTTAAAATCAAAAAGAAAAAGAATACTCCTACTTATATCGAACATGTCGAATCAGTTCTCCACTTGTTGTAAATGAAAACGCACAAAATTTGCACTAATGAAAAAATAAAAAATGTATTGTATATCGAATGTTTTGCTGAAGAAATTTTTTACTTGAAATGGTTTAACACCCAGATGCGTATTAACATGATTAGTTAATTGAATAGTTGTTTTAAACGATCGATCACAATATGCACCTGAAAAAATAAATACATACTGCTTTCGCTTGATTTCTAGTTGAAACTTTTACATTTATGTGGTCGTTCAGTTGAATGAGATTTTAAGTGTCTTTGAAGAAGATATTTTTTCGTTGTTGTATAATTACTAAGCATAATTTTGTTAAATAAAATACTAATTTTTGATTAGAAGCAACTCACCAATACGAACACATCAGTTTTTCCATCGTTTTTCCACTATCACTAACACTTGCTTTCGATACAATATTATTCCTTTGTGGTGTAGATTTCGTCCATTTCCTTGATGTTTCACTTAAATCGAAATCAAAAACAAAGAACACATGAATTTATATAAGAAAATCTTCCATTTTTCTTTACCCAAAATCATAAACGGAATCTGTTGATCTATTCATATGCATGGTTTTCGTAACATCTCGTTCAATATCAATTTTATGATCTTCGTGAATTTCATCGTCTTCTTCATCGATTTGTTCGTTTCCTCCGTCCCATTCTTCATCGTCATTTGGCTGACTTCGACGAGACTTCGGTGGTCGACCTCGAGGTTTCTTACTAACACTATTTATTGGTAATACCGAGGATTTATCTAAGTCTTCATCTTCGTCTGATTCAGCTGAATCGACAAATTTGACCGCTTTAGTTGATCGAGTTGATGTCCGAGTTGCCATTTTATCTTAAAAATAATATTTTGTATACCAATAAAACAAATCAATATTGTTCTTTGTTTATACTATACTGGTAGTCAAATACGTGAATAGAATAGATATATCATAGATGGCGCTAATCATCAAAGGTTAATTGAGTATTCTTGTTTGGCAAAAAGACGTACCTTATAATTCTACTTAACTTTAACAATCGAGTGAGGTGAGAATATCTAAGAGGACAAATAGTTTTCAAAAGTATTTCGAATTTCAAAGATCGATGAAATAGGATTGTCAAATCTGTTGAATTGTAAAATAAAATTAACGCCATCAATAAAGCCACATGAAGCACCAGCATGAGATGCACAAATATAGTTTTATATGTAAATAATTAGCTGTTGAAAGGTGATTGTATTCATTTTTTGTCTGAAAGATAGGATTCATGTTGAATCAACAAGCATTACATATGCAATACACGAATTCTTACATTAATTAAGACAAAGCATTTTATTCCTTATAAAGCGATATCTTTTCTCTTAATTCAGCTGTAATTTTTTTATCATGAGTGAAGTGAGTATAGACAATTGATTTCGATTGTTTTTTTTCAATGTATCCATCGAACATGATCAATAACCAATTCAACAGAGTTGTACGTGCATTACAGCAAACTTTTGATAATTAATATTATTGTATTTTTTAAAATTAACTTGGCCATATATTTTCATATTTTTCTGATGTCATCACAATCATATGCCTCCGTCAAAAAAAGTCCGTAAAGTGTCAGATATATAAAACTTAACAATAAGCTTTTTTTCTTCTTCTTTTGCTCAATGAAAATTGTATAGAACTTGATGAGATCAATAAGAACATGTAGTTTTTCAATTTTCTGTAAATCAGGCCATTTTCAGCTAGGGACAGATATTGTACTTGAAACTTTCTTTTGTATTGCACTACTATGTGTTTCAGATTTAACAAAATAAAATTGAATCGAAATAACGGATTTATAAAGTGAAAGTATGATGAATTTCTCGATCAGTAAAACTGAACTAATTTTCAGAAAAAGTCAAGTCCTACAGTTAACATTTTCACCCAAAAACTCGTTGTAAAACATGGAAAATGCATTTATCCTAATTCGACTTATTGAAGTTTTATGCGATTTTCGGATTACTTCAAATATTCTAGTCACAAATTTTCTTATTGGAAAATCTGCTCGATTAATTGAAATTTATTATATAACTAAAAGCAATTTGTAAGTAGTATATCAGTGAAGAGCTTCTATCAATTGAAAAAAACAATAGAATGCTGTTGTGCTCTGTGGTTATATCTTTGAATTATGGACATCTCAATGAATTGCCATCGCATGGTCCTTTGCAGCAACGACGAATTTTTGAACAACGTAAAAATGAAAGAACACAATAGCCAAGTGGATGCGGTGGCGGTTCAACATATGAAAATAGATGTGGTTTATTTGAAACAGTTGTTGTCGAGCTAATGTTCGATATAGAAGTTGTTGGGTCTAAGATTGTATACATCATACTAGCTTGATCGTTTGTTTTTTGTTCAGTGCTTTGACCAGTGGCTGTGTTATATTCAGTAATTGTAGCAAATGTTGGTTTTTCTTCAGTAACACTTTGAGCAATAGTATATACTGTTGAACTATCTTCTGATTGCGCATTGATGGATGAACAGAAAATGTTAAACACGATAAAAATAAGATAATGTCGCATTTTACGTAGTTTCTTTTCTTCGCGAATGAATAAATACTTGAATGAACCTATATTTTTTCCTTAAATCATATCTCCTATATGTATCTGTTCTTTTTCTTTTTGTTCATTCATTTTGACACGTTGACCCTCACACTATTCGTAGCATCAATATCAAATAAACATTTAAACGGTCAATGTATTGATCTATCATTTGCATTTATTTATTGATAGAGAAAACAAAAATCAAATGATCAATGAAAGTTTTGTGTTAAATCAAGCACTGTTCTTTGACGTGTAGATATATCCATTTCCCTAAACAAATAAGAATGATTATCATCAATCAACAAAATAAAACGATTATTATTATCGTACAGCAGGTGGACAAGCAAGTGTACCCAATAGATTCCAGCTTGTTGTCTTTTCGCCAACTTTTTGCATCTGCAAAATAAAATATATAATAAATAATTCAAATAACTTCATGGACTATTCTAACCATATTATTCCAAAGTTCAATAGCAGCGGCTTCATGGCCTTTTTGACTGAAATGGAAACAATCGGGTGAGAAATAAGAGAAGTCAGCTGTACCATCATTCTAAAATACAAGAAAAACAAACAAGAAGCTTATCTGAAGCCAGCTGTATTTGAAAAACTGTTTTGTTTGTACCTTAAGAGGTACTGCCATATGTTCCATAAATGGTTGTCGAACAACAGTAAAATCATTTGATGTATCAAAGATACCCGAATCAATTAAATCATTTGTTGCTTGTTGATATTCAAGATTTGCTACGCGTACTACTTCACGTGTTTTCTGATCAACTGCACAATCACACATGAAGCTATAAAATTCAAAAATTATTCGAACAATTGTTCTCCATTTGATCTTACTTTTGTAATGTTTGACACCGAACACCTTCATGTAAATCTTCAAGTTCAGCAACATTTAGAACAGTTACTAAATTAACTATAGTACGAGGCATTCGAGCTTTCAAAATATTTAATGCCGTTTTGATATTGTTTGTATAATTAGCTGCACTTAATCGGTCCTAATACAATACAAAAATAAACAATTTTATTTTATAAAGATATGCAACAATAACAGCATACTGTAGCTTTACAATAACTACACAGATCGTTACCACCAATAAAAAATGTAACTAATTTCCAGTCTGAAGCGAATTTTGCAGCACCTAGTGCAGTAATCATTCGGTCAGCGAGCATATTTGCTTGAGTTGGCATTTCCCTGTAATATATATGAAACAAGATCTTCTAAATATATCTTGTTATTTTTAATCTTTAATTTAATTCACTGAGAAACAGCACCAGCTCTAGCAACATTAAAACCAGCTTTTGATGAATTTCGATTACCAAATCCTCGCGAATAGCCGTCTAAATAAGGATTATATTGTCGCAAAATATCTAGAATATTCGGCGAGAAAAAAACAATGTTTTCATTGATTAAAAGTATCGAATAAATATACTGGCTAAGGTGACGACTGTTTGAAGATTGTCGTCTCCACCAATACTAAAATTTTGAATGGTAATTACAGAACTAATTGAGGAACAAACTTTTGTTTTTACCTCCATGAAACACCTCGATATTCGACTAGAACACCACTCACTGTTTTTGCTTTGGCACCATTTGCTGCCTAGAATTTGTCCAGAAGAATTTACTATCATATATTATTGGTTTTCATACTGTTAAACTGTCACCCATCGATGCTATATGTTGAATATCAGCTGGCCGTAAAGCATGAACTAAAATCAATTACAATAAAAATCATTCATCAACGAATGAAAAATTTTATGTTAAAAGAAAATGAAACCTGAAGTTGGCTTTTTTGCCGATGCAGTTAATGCTGGACAGGTGAATGCTAAACGAGTGTTAGCAGAAGCCAAAGGTCCCTAACCATTAAGAGTGAAAGTTAGACAACTAATATCGAATATCTTTACCAAAATTTTCATTCGTTCAGCTGGAGTATGATTTCGTTCATAGTCGTCTCCAAACGCAACACCTACTCAAAATATGTGACTATAAACAAGGAGCCCCTTACCGAAAAGATCTTACCACAAGCTAAAATAATACTTAAACAGGCGAATAACATTTTATTTTGTTAATTTCTCTTAATTTAATTTCTTTCGAAATTCGCTTCTAAAAGGCAAAAAAGAGGAATGGAACAAACTTGTTGATGGCTTTTTTTTATATAAAAAAAGTGCAAACATATTCTATACAGATGTTCGATTTTCTCATATCGTGCGAAAAAACAATGGCATGAAGCTATCTTATGTCATATTTTCGATCGTTTTTATTTTTTCTTAAATAAATATTTATACCATCACATGAATTTATTGATAAGAGTATGCATTAGATTAACATCTATTGCATATTAGTTTTAAATAAACGATTTTCTCAATGATCAAAGTATTAACTTGGTTTTACTGTAATGCTATTTCGTATTCACAATGAAGAATGTTAGTAGAATTCTATTCTTTTTATGAAAATAGTGAGAAATCAATATTGTGCTCCTGAAAAAATTTTCTTCTCAATAATTTCTCTGCAATGTTTCGGCAATTCTTGTATATATTTTGATCAGGTTCAAATTTTTCAAGTTGAAAATTTGCCCACTCAAACGAATATTTTTTGTAATCAAATGTAGTAACAAATATTATATGAGTCATAAACTAACATGGGTCATGTTTAAAGGATGTAGATGGGTATAAGTCAAGAGAGAGAGAGAGAGAGAGGGGCCACGTCCACATTCTCAAAATCAATGGTATGATTGAGTATCATTCAATATTTATCTATTGAGAAAAATTCAAAATGTTCGATAGAATAGCGGTGGTTTTTGTTCATATGAATTTGATCTTTATGCACTGTTGTTTAACGAATCAATACATTCAATCTCATCAATACCCATTTAAATAAAATTAAGTAAAAAATTAATTATCGTAATCGTCCTATCATGATACGATATATATATACATAAGTTTTTCCAATTAGCTTGAAACAGTTATTATTTGGGTACTTCTTTATTATTCTTTTTATTTGAACGATATTTTTTTACATTATGAAAAGTACTCATATGCATTTCGTAAATGTCAAACTCTATGAATATAGTTGTTGCGTGTCGCTATTCAAGGTTTGCCTGATGTTAGCATGTTTTGAGAAAAAACCTTGCGTCATGTGTATGTTCAAGGTTTGAACTATGATTCTAAGTCATTATTAAATGAATAAAAACACGTGGTATTTGAAAATCTAGGTTATTTGATGTACTTTTAGTATTTCAACTTTAAGTTGATCTAGTGTAAAACTATCATATAAATTCGATTCGTTCGTACTTGCAAAAACATGATGCCATACAAGTAAATCTCGTGCTCTTGCAATCATCAAAAACATCATTAATATTAATAAACAATTCACACTAAGTAATTTTATTTCTGAATCAAATATTTTAGTATATCATTTAGTACTAATTTTATTCATTGATTACATTGACTTTCATTATAATTAGAACTCCCAACAATGTGATTTCGACTAGTGATCTCAATTGAAAAAATGCATAAAAGACAGCCATAGAATTTTCGTAAAATATGTATCATATATGCATGATACCGATTTTTAAAGTATAGAATTACATCACTTTGTAGTGAAACTAAAAACTGATCAGTGCAATATAGTTGCTTCAATTACAACAGCAGTTTGTTGAAAGTCAAGTATGAGGGATGATAGAATAGATAAAATTCTTAGATTGAACGATATTTGATCTTAATTTTATTAATCTCACAATCAACATTAAATCTCGATTATTTTACAACGTTTTGCTAACTCATATTTTCACGTCCACGGTAACTTCGAGTATTGCAAAAAAAAACCTTGTATCATTGTTTCCTTTTACCATCTGTATAGTTCAGCAGACTTAAAGTAAATGTTCTGATTACGAATATCATTTGTTTGGTAAATCGAACTGAGATTATTCTTTTCGAAAACTGCCAAATATCACTAAATAAGAACACAACTTGAGTGTTGAAACTAATTGTCTGATTAAAGTGGATTTAACATATATCTAGTTTCACATTGAATTTGATGTCATTCGAAAGAACACATTGAATTACGTGTTTGACAAATAAACCTTGTTGATATTCTAGTACTAACTGTAAATTCATAAGATTGTTACAATGATTATTTTTAATAAAATGATAGACTCGGAACAGTATTCATCACTAATCAAAGAATTCTTTATTCTCTAAATGAATACTAAAGGACTATGTCTATAAAGTCTAACTTCGAAATATCAGATAAATAAAAATTGGTGCAAGGAAAAATAGATTAAGGAAGACAGTATTAAAATTAGACAGCTGACATTGATATGTTCATTTGCAAAGGAATTGTACAACACTTTACACTGCAAAGAAAGGCCATCGTGATTTATTATTTTCTGATAAACTCTCATTCATTCAGTCAAAATGTCATGACATTATAGCACAGGAAATTTAGCACTTGTTATGAAATCTCTACAGACCGACGTTTTCCAATCAATTATTGTTATTGTCAGCTACTAAACGATAAACGTTAGAAAATAACACGTCTAATCATATAACTACAAAATAATATGTTTGAAATGCATTGAGATTGACACACATTATATATTTTTAAATATTCACATTCGGATTTTTATTAATTAATTTTGAATTAACAAAAAACAAATTCATTCAATTGAAATTTTCTACTTATTTAATCATTCAAACTCCTCATCAATACCAGTAGCTTCGGTTAGCCTATGCTCTTTGTAAACACACATGAATTTTGCTATAAATGCTTCAAGATGAAAAAATTTTTTTGAACCTTGTCGAAGACGACGTTCATACTCCGCAGCTATGTGTTATTTTTACTTTTAATACATTATCAAAATTAGTCAGTAATTCTTCCAGTAAACCTTAAGAATAAAATTTTTTATGATAATATAAATTCGGAATAAAACGAAATAGACTAAGGTACTTTAAAAATAATTTCTGCTGGAATACAATGTGCAACTAATTCATAAAGACGTTCGCGTGCTTGTAAAATTCTTAAATAATCAAGACCTTCAAATGTAAGCATAAGAGAAGACGATTTTTACCGTTGAGGTGTTTGTTCTTCACCGACCATTCGTGCTGTGTCACGTAAATATACTTCCCAATCCGGCTCAAGTATTTGCTGATCTGTTGTTAATGGAAGTCTAAGAAAAGCAAAATTTAGTTTTCCATTTGCTCGTTTAGAAAATGAAATATTTGCTTTTGTGTTGCACATGTTTGAAGCATTAGTAAAGCTCTTCGTAGATTTCTTTGACTTTTTCACAAATACGATTGGCTAAATCAATTGGTAACTGAATGCCTTCAAAATTTGTTACTTTTTGTAAAACTCCATTGATCTAGATAGACGACGATTTCATTTAAGAAAATAGATATAGGTAAACTAATAAACTTCGTCAATCGTTGGCGCAGCAATTCTTATAGCTAAACATCGACTTCGAATAGCTGGTATAACACGCGATGTTGAATTACAACAAAGTATAATTCGACATGAACTAATATATTTTTCCATTGTACGACGGAGAGCACGTTGAGCATCTCGAGCTAATTTATCAACTTCAATAATTACAATCACTTTAAAATAAATATGAATTCAATAGATCAATATTTGCATTAATTGTACCAATATTAGTATACCTTTGAATGATCGCTGTTCGTTGATATTTATTTCTTTTGTTTGTGCAATTGTTTTAATTAATTCTTGAATAACAATACGATCATATATACCTGCATCGCTAAAAAAAAGTAGGTTTCATTCGTTCTTATTCAATACAAATAATTAAATTCTTGACATCGACCTTGGATTAACTTGTACATGATAATTACTTCCAATTGTAGTTATTTCTCCTTTTCTTCGTGATGGTGTTTCATATACATGATTTTCAATACGTAAAGATTGTGCACCATCACCATATAGATCATGAAGTAAACATTTTATACGAGTCTTTTTACCTGATCCACTAGGACCATAGATTAGAAAATGAGGAAAATCACCGTCAGCTACCTAAATCATCTATGGAAATATCACGAGATTTTAGAAGAAAATATTTATTTACAACGGCTTGCAATAATGCAGCCTGTTCTAATTGATAGTGAAGTTCATTAAAAGTTTTCGGTTGATATTTATCACACCAAAGACTCATCTCAAACAAGAGTCAGATTATTTTTTAAGTTTTAAATATGTTAAGCATATATGTATTTATAATACCCAGCAAATCTTTAAATTATCATAATTAATCTACAACCATTTTATCTTTGTAGTTACTAATGGCATGTTATGGGTATTCGCCATTTTATATTTATTTTTAATACAAATTATAAGTTTAACGAATTCAATCCTCACCATCACATAGTTATCTATATCGTGACTCTTTCATTATTTTAACATACAGAATATCAAAACACCAAACAGAAAAAAAATGTTATTCTAGGTAGAAATTGAACTCCAGCATTGAATATAAAAATTTTCAAATTATGGACACAACTTAAATCAATGAAAATATAATTACGGTTAAATCCATTTCGTAACTGATTGTTTATTGTGCCAAATAAGAATAATAATACTAAGTCAAAAGTGATTTATTATAGTAAGAAAATAAAACAAATCAATTATTTTATTGTTTAACTGCAATCAAAGCTTCACTTGATGCCGATGTTTCAAGTAATAACTTATTAAGTACTTTTTTAGCTGTATGAAATACATAATAAGTTAAAACAAATGTCATTACGCACTCACAAACACCGACCACGATTCCAACGGTTTTCGTTCGTTTGTCAATTAATATTAAATCTGTCATTGAATGTAGCCGTGAACCAAGAAAACAATAAATTAATTGAGTTGGTATCAAGCCACATAATGACCAAAAAAGATAAATGCGAAAAGGAACATTACTAATTGAATAAAATCCATTTTGTAAACCAAGAGGGATCTATTGAAATAGAATATATTGATAAGATTTTTAAAAAGAAAGCAATAAATTACTTACTGGCGTAAGTCTACTGAGAAAAATAATTTTATAACCATCTACACTATTGAGAACTTTAATTAATGTTTGAATTACTTCACTATTTTCAAATGTTGTTTTTAAGTTTTTAATAATACGAAAATTATGTGTTAAAATATAATTACAAATAAAAAACGATAGGGATAAACCAATACTAACGTATAATATTATGAATATCATACCATACAGAAGTCCATATAGAAAACCACATGCTATATTTAATAATATATAGCCTAAATAAAACATATGCATTGAATTATAAATATATAAATTTTTCCTAAATTTGTACGTACCCCAAGCAAACGGCAGGGAAACAAGTGTAAATAGGACACAAAAAAATATGAAAGTCCACCACCACGGTAACGTGTCAAGAATAAGTAAAATGTTAACTAATGAATCTTTATATAAATATGAACATAATGATGTAACTATGACAAGCAAGAAAAATACAACAATAATTTGTTTAAATGATGGCCCATTGAAATTTGATGAATGAAATATATCATGATCTGGTGGTTGAAATTGTATTAATTTTTTCTTTGAAATAAATGATTCATCAGAATTATTTTCGGGCTTAACATCATATCCATTTGTATCAGATGATGACGGCGCATTCGAGGATGCTGAATGGTCACAATTTATTGATGTAGAGAGAAAATTAACAGTTACACTATCAGACATTGAACGTAAATCGTACTTTGTTAAAGCTTTTCAAATGTAAAAAAAGAGACGTAGAGAAGAATGAGTCAAAATAAAATAAAAACATACTGTTTAACAATGGCACATAGTGACAAGCAGGCCATTAAACAGAACAGAAAGCATGATGACGCTCTCTCAGAAAAATGAAAAAGAAAAAAATTGCATAAAAAAAAAAGTTACTAGGCGAATTGAAACGATTGCAGCTCAGTACACGTAAGGCTATTACATTAATCATGCCCCATCTCTGCGTGTTTTTTTATTAGGCATACCAATAGAGGTCGTGACATGTTCAAAGAGGAAAAAAAGAAATGGAGACCATCGATGGCTTCTTACAAAGGAAGGTATGATATGATATACAATTCTTTTTATTTGTTAAAGAAGACACACTGCTGATTGATTCCTTTGTCGAATCAAACATTTCTCTGTTTAAATAAAATTTATTTTAGATCAATCTTGATATATATTTGTGAAGAAGTTATGAAAAATTTTCACAATTCTAACCTTCGTCTTCAAATTAGACATTGAAATCTTTTTTAGGTTTGAAATGAGTGATTTTATTCTTAGTAAGATTCTCCTTTATGAATGTTTATCTTACGGTTTATCTGGGTCTCAAGAAAAAATACGAACAACAGATGTGACAGACAGATCAAAATTTCTTTCTAGTTTTGTTTTTTTTCTAAATGGAAGTGCAACATGTACAGCTGTTTATGTTTCTGAAGCTGATCATGTTATATTTATTGCTCGGAATGAACCAATCACAGCAACTGATGAACAGCCCAGGTCGTTCATTCCTACAATCGGATCTCACATGAAAACTGAGAAGAACCAACAGATTTCGTCGGATTCCGGGCTTCGGAGTCCGATACTATCCGATCGTATCCTACTCTGGGATCCGATGCGTCAAAAAGCCTGCTATAGTCAGCCTCTAAAAAGCTTTTTTTGCACTAAATAGAATTTTGATATTTTTTAAAATCCTTCCATCGGATCCGTCAATAGTTCCGAAACCCAGAATCCAACTGGATTTCCTCGGTTAGTAGAATGTTTTAGGATCCGTCGTCGGATTAGGCGATCTGGAAATATTTCAATCGATTTTTTCGTTAAATTCGGATTTATATCAGATTATGTTTAATCAGTAGTGTCAAACTTGAAACTTGAATTCAGTTGAAAATAGAAAATTTCAACTTTCAACTCATAGTGATAAAGGTGGGAGTCACGATTCTTCGGCATGCTATTGGTTTAAAAGTTGAAAATTTCAATATTCAATTGAATTCAACTTTCAAGTTTGACATATATGTCTTCAATCAAAGACAAAGCAATAGAAGAAGCTAGAGATCAATTGGATTCTATTATATTTGAATATAATTCGAAGAAAATCATCAATTATTTTGCTGGTCGAAATTCTAAAGTCATTCATGGATTAATTAAAATGGTTCGATGGAATACACATGAAAAGTATCATTTTATTGAAGAACTTCAATCCAATAAAGAATATTACAGAAATTATCCATTAATGACTGACAAAATCTTTCTAATATCAAAAAATGACACCGAAGAAGATTATATGAAATTTCTATTGAGAAGCCTTAATGAATTTTTAGTAGCTCGTGATCAAATATTTGGAAATTAAGTTAATCCAACTGATCAACAGTTGATTTTAGCAGCACAGCGTGCCACGATGCTTTTTCAATCACGCTTTTTTCGATATATACCCAGGTCGAGCATTACGGCTACCAGAAACGGTCGCATACGGCCGTAAACGTTAACGTATACTGCCGTTTCCTGCCATTTCTCACCGTAAATGGCCGTAACTTGACGTTTTGACATGCACCGTATCCGATCGTTTATAGCACGATACAAAAACGACCGTAATACGGTGCATACCAAACGACCGTAAATTATGGCCAAACGGCCGTGTACGACACAAGTTGATCGACCTGGGTACTTAATCATTCGGTGAAAACAGCTGATAAAGGTGTTCATTATTTTGAAAAGGCATCGGCTCATTTACGGTCAGAAAATCTTGTTTTGAAATGTTTGTCTAATAATAAGGAGCATTTTGGTCAAATATATAAAAATATCTCATGGAAACTCGCTCCACCAATTGAACAAACACACCAATTGAATGTTACTTCACGACAAGCATTTGAAAACATTTTCACAAATCTAATTCATTCATCAGATCAAAATATCTCGAAATTCTTCAACAGACTACAAGTGATACTTTTTATAAGCAATACTTAGGAAAATTGAAAATGATTGACGAAAAACCTATTTATGTTGGCCACCTACGTGCCGAAATCTTACTTATAGATTATTTATTAAAAAATAACATCAATCAGGCAGATCATTTGAATCTAGTTGAAATAAGTATTTCGAAAATACCTTGTTTACTATGTTCATCTTACATTGATGCATTAAATAAAAAATATCATCGTTATTTTTATTCATCTGATGCAACCCATGGCAAAGCTTATACTAAGTGGATATACAGAGATAATGAAGATCCATCAATCATAAATCTCATTAATGACAAATTAATTGAGCAAATTCAACATTTAATTAAAAAATGATGCCTCGAAAGTGATCGTGATGGTCCGAAAAAAACTGATGATAGCGATATTATGTCCACTTCAATGGAAGGCGATGAAGTTGAAGAACTAATGTATCGAAAATTTATTCATTAACATGATCATGGTATGTTTTTTTAGATTTCTATCAAATTCAATATATTCTTTTGTATTTTTAGACCGGTTGTCATTGTTTTTGGACAATTTTTATCTTATTAACCATTTCTTTTTTCTCAAGCTCTTGATTATGTTCGTTTGTTGTTTTCTGTTTTTTATTGATTATTAAAAGAGCTTCATTGAAATAATTGTTTATGTTCATCGTATTGATGTTTACTCTGGTGAAATAAGTTCTTGAGAGAATATCGGTGAAGAAGTTGTTTCCTCAGAAATGATCCACACAACATATCAATGTAGACAATTCTATGATATGATCGATTGTAAGAATGCATTGTGAGTGTCCATTTGTTTTCTCCTCATTAAAGAAGTGATAACCTTTTTGCGATGAATATTGAAAGATAGTGGCAACGTGTATACAACATGATAAACATGTCCTAACTTGAATATGTCTCGTACACAATGACAAGGGATTACATCAATATCTACCGTCATCGAATGCCTTTATAACGGCAAATACAATAAACAGAAGGAAGATCTACGGGATATTGGCTGTTCATTACACAGAAGAATCTCTTTCAAAAATAATTAAATGAATTGTTAAAGAGAAACATATCTAGTTGAGCTTATTTTAGTTTGTTCTTCAATTATAGAAGCTCTGCTTAATAAAATCAGCTAAAATAGAACAAAATGTTTTTTTTATTTTTCAGTATTTTTTCCTGATCAACAGACATTTGTTATTAGAGGAAATATGACTAACTATTCTTCGATTGTTTTCGAGATCATTAATAAAAGTTCCTTGTTGAATGTTTTTTTCGACAGTTTGACTGGACCTAATAGTCAAAAAGTAATAGTGACCCATGTTGCAAATACTGGATCAATTTTTGCGGTAAACCGCGGTATTTATCCGTTCTGTGCTAATGGGAGCCGGTAACCGGACCAGTAAAACCGCGGTTAACCGGCGGTTTTTTGCGCATGTTTATCACGTGTAAAAGTAAAAAAAAAGGATCTTTAAAATAGTTTAATTGATGATTTGGAAGACTTTTTCTGTCAAAAATTATAGATGAACCGGTTAACCGCTTTTTTAGCGGTAACCGCGGTATTAATCAANGTTTAAAGCGGTAAATGCATGTTCATTTTTTGTGGTAAACCGCGGTATTTATCCGTTCTGCGGTAATGAGAGCCGGTAACCGGACCGGTAAAACCGCGGTTAACCGCCGATTTTCATGCGGTTTTTCTTACATGGAGAACGCTATAGTGTTCACTATTATCTATAAATTAATTAAAAAAATTATTCGTGTGGACACTAAAAATATATATCGATTCAATTTTGTTTCGCTTCGTTTTAATTCAAATTCGCAATAACACATAAAAATAAATGGAGCGTTGTTGTCTTCGAACACAAGCCTTGTTTGTTTTCTCTAGATTATACTACCCCGGGCCAAATACGTACGGCGGGAAACAGTCTGATCCGGTGATTTTCCATCGAATCTCGGAAGCAGCATTCCGAAAAGTTTTCCGGTCTCCGTTTCCCGGGTATTCCCCGCTAACTCTGGGTTCCGGAAGCGATAAGCGGATACGGTTTCCGTTTACAGCAGGATTCCTGAGTAATTTTCCGATCGTTTCCTTTTGGCGATCGTAAACGAAGGAATATGAATAGTTTCCGAACTAGACACCTAGCCAGGATCTGCCCGTTTTCAATCCGGGTATGGAATCCGGATTGCACCGTTTGACCAATCGGATCCGGAAAATAAGAACTATTCGATGCTTCCTTTCTCTAATTAAAAACAAAATTGTGAATTTCAAGGATAAGTACATATTTCTTATTGGAAGTAGGGGTGCAATAGTTCAACTCTAGTTCTGAGCGTGGGAGCTGTTCGAAAGTTCATTTCGATATGAGCTGATTGTTTTGAACAGCTCCTTTCAAAAGAGCTGATCTGATCGAACAGCTCTCGTTCCTGAACTGAACTTTTTCAACAGCTCGTTTCAAAAGAGCTGATATGATCG